TGCGTTCAGAAATAGGAAGCCAGTGTAATTCTTTCAGTATTGGAGTGATGTGGTCGTACTTTCGGGAACAGGTGATAAGTCGGGCAGCGGCGTTCTGAAGACACTGGAGCTCTTTTAAAGCACACTTCAGTACATTGTACAAAAGAGAGATGCAGTAGTCGAGTTTGGAAGACACAAAAGCATGGACCAGGATCTCGGTGGTTTTCGTAGATAAGAATTTCCTTATCCGGGAGATGTTGCGCAGATGATAAGAGGCTGATTTACAAATAGAACTGATATGCGGAAGCGCAATAGCCCTTTAAATTTAATGCTTAACTTTTTTATTTGCATTCCAATGTAATCTAACGCGGATGCTGTGCAATTTCGGGCCGAAACTACCGTCCAAAATTTTGCCTCACATGTTGGTTTATTTAATTATTAATAACATCCAAATAAAAAACTGTGGAGCTCTACTTTTAGGCCTGGCTAAATCTATATATTATTTCTTCTACACACAAGATGCTATTTGTTGAGCAAGGCACCACAAATCTGTCTGCACCTTTTCCATACATTGAGGCTACAATCAATGGCCATCCTTAAAGGAATGCCATGCTTAAACAACTTCCTCCAATATTCAAGGATCTCAATTGCCAGTATGACTTTGTCACAAATGTTAAAAACTCCTTTCAAAAGCATGCAAATTGCAAATAATGTTTGATTTAGAGCCATACAGTTAACAAGACAAATTAAACAAAAAAATGATTACTCTTAAAATAAAATATGTTAAATCAAAGAATACAAGCCGGGTTGCCAATGACCTAGTTTAAGAATTAACAAATTGAATACAACCAATGATATTATAGATATATTGGTTCAGTTAAGGCCTTAAAGTACTGTATTTTGATTCCCAGCTTTCGCCATTTAACAGCATCATCAATATATCTGTGTATTCCAAAATGCAACTGAAGGACAACTTCAAATGTTCACTGATATCATGTCACCACAACATTAATATTGTTATCATTATTAATATTATGATCCTCGCACTGGGGCTATGTGGCGTAGAGGCACGTCTCCCGGGTGGCGGATAGGGGAGCCCTCCCTTAGGGGGGTTGCACCCAAATAATACAGAATAGGGTACTGCGGACCAACATAGCCTTGGACAGGGACAAGTCTGACTCCAAACCCTAGTAGATGGAGCCTGTCAGCCTTGGTAGGTAGTCTGTCTAAGAGAAGGAAAACTCCAATTCCAAACTATGGGTAGATGGAACTTGTTTGCCTTGGAAGGCAGTCTGTCTAGGAAAAGGAAAACTCTGATCTCAAACCAACTGGTCCTCCTGGTTGAGGGTTGGACATAAGGCTAACAACCCTATTCTAGAAAACACATCCATTTTACAGAAACAGGAACAGAGGAAATCAACACTACTGGGTGTGATGGGCTTCCAGAGTCATCGCAAGATACTCATATGAACATCATGGGTGAAAGCCGAAAGGAAATCAATGACAGGAGGATGGAGGTCCTGAGCACCAAAACCAAGACCAGAATTGAATTCTGGAACGTGAGGATGATGTATGAGACAGGAAAGCTGCTACAAGTTACAGCAGAGATGAGATGCTACAATCTGCACATTCTTAGAATTAGCGAAATCAGATGGACAGGATCAGGCAGGTATAGAACCAACACAGGAGAGACGGTGTTATATAGTGGTAGAGACGAA